CGCCAAAAATTTCGTATCGCGATATATCACGATTTTTTCCCCACAATATCACGATAATATTATGATATTCTTAAAAGCAGTTTTTACCGTGATTTTATATGAAAAGTCATTATTTTTCTAAAAAAATATGCTAGAAAAACAAAATATTGCTTTCTTGAAATTTTTATGTATATAAAATCAGTTATGTTTGGACGGTATGATGTCGTTCTTTTCACTTTTTACAACATTTTTTATACTTTCTGTAATTGTAATTTGAAAGATTGAACAAATAAATGAATAATTTCTGGACTTTATAATATGTACCTAAAGACCGGTATTTAGGTCTCCGTATCACGATACGTATCACGCAACAAAAATCGATGATATACAGGTATACCGATAAAATCGCACATCCCTACTATTTTGACAATGATTTAAAAATTATTTCTGTTGATGATCCAGCATCATCCTGACCAGCAGAAATGAAAAAAAAGAAAGAAAAAACAAAACAAGAGGCCCATGGGCCAATGTGCTCACCCAAGTAATCTCGGCTGTAACTGTTCTTGAGAAAAAAATTCAACATCAATATTATTTTCTCTTTTCACATTTTTATCTCAATTCATGCCCCAACCACCCCCTTCTAGCTTCAAGGAATCAGCTAGGTTTAAATTAAATCATTCTTAATTTAATCTTGGGTTGCCAAGATATCATTAGGAATAACATTGCTTGAAAGTGAAGTTTTCTTCATACATGCACTAGGAAAAATTGATCCTGCTTTTATACCCTGCATAACCCCAGGGTCACTAACTTAAAACTGACTATACTTTACCTTGGAATGTTCACTCAATATTAAATTATCTCATTTACTGAATAATCTTATTAATTAGCATGACTCTACTACTATATATATATTGAAGATCAGAAGATGGACAAATTGTGAGTCAAAATCGAGAATACAAATGAAAACATTATTTTTAGTAACACACCTCCAAAAAACACGCTGACTGAAAAGTCATCACTGATGACCACTCTTTTGCAAATCTGTCCCACTGAATGGTCATATTGCCCAAGGACAAGAAGTGACTGATTGTATTTTAACACAATCCAGTCTTCACATTTCTTAGCATCACTACAAACTTCTTCCAAATTGTAGTATACGACTCTCTCTGGTACAACTGGTAATTGACGCTGAGTCTAAATTTCAAGAAAATATCTATGATCATACAAATGCACATTTAACTTACTGAAATTATTCTTTGAAGAACATTCATAAGAAACTAGTCAGTAAAACCTGTTTCATAAAGCATGTGCGTGAAATAGAATTCAGTTGAAACAAGCAAGCAATTTATATTATACATGTATATATACTAACTGGAGCTTTCCTTGGTGGTGGGCAAGGAGTCTCTATTGATTTTTTGGGCATGTTTAGGGTTGGTAAACTTCCAGGAACAAGCTTATATCCTTTCCCTGTTAAAAAAGTCATATGTGATGGTAAAATTCTTGCAACAATCTAAATATAAATAAACTTTCCCTGTTGAAGAAGTAGATAAGACAAGACAGGTCCAGCACAATACTCTGATAAAGGTATATAGCTTGATAAAGCTATATAGCTTTTTCAAGGTATTTAAAATACCTCGATCAAGGTATTTTATGTGATGAAAATTCAAAAAATTCTTTAAAAATTAAATACTGAAAGTCGAGTTTTGAGTTTTTGACATTGTGTCTATTGGTCTATGAAAAACACTCTGGTATCAAAAAGAAGGCATAAAAATAACGTCTCCTCTTACGACACATTTTTCTACCGATTTGTATGTGTTTTAGTACCTTACATGCATGGGTGAATTTACTGACAACAACTCAGAACGCGACTTTCAGTAATTAATTTTTAAAGATTTTTTTTTTAATTTTCATTACATAAAATGCCTTGATCAAGGTATTTTAAATACCTTGATAAAGCTATAAAGCTTTATCAAGCTATATACCTTTATCGGGGTATTTTGCTGGACCTGCAAGAGTTGTGTGATATGTTATAATAACATTGCAGGTAAAGTCTAATAAGTCCAGGTTGATATCCCTTCCTTTCATATCGTTACACCGATTCGCCACCGGAGATAAGATAGACTGTCAACACTGTGTTCTTTCATATTCCAAAAATTGGAGAAGAAATATTTATAGATAATTTCAGTATTAACTACTCTCAGATAAGTTTAACATAGTATACAAACAAATGTACCGTGAAACAACAAACATCTTTCTTCGAAATGTGTAGAGCAAATATGCATAGTATCTGCATTGAAAGACGCATCAGCCCTATTTACAGAGGCTATTAGCCTAGATCTCCATAAGTCCGAGTGGGGGTCTGTTGCTTTTGGGAAGCTGAAATAGCTAACCACTTCATTCGCACCCTTAGTTCTTCCCTGGTAATTGAAACAACCTACTATACAACAATGTTTCCCCACCATTGTACATTGCAAACCGGAAGTTTTCTATGCATCCCGGTGATGGCGCTGCGATCGCAATAAGATCTCTCCAATAGAAATATAGGGATGACGTCACCAGTCGGCAGTCCCTTCGATTTATGTCTATGATCTTTATTATGGATAAACTTGGTAGGTTCTCATTTCACATAAAGATTGCCCATGACCCAAGGGTGTGTCATGACCTTGACCAAAGGTCATTTGGGGAAGTTCAAGGTCACTGGGAGAAAAATTTCAAAATTCATGTTTGACATATATCTTTTATGGATAAACTTGGTAGGTTCTCATTTCATACAAAGATTGCCCATGACCCAAGGGTGTGTCATGACCTTGACCCAAGGTCATTTGGGGAAGTTCAAGGTCACTGGAAGAAAAATTTCATAATTAGTGTCCGGTCTATATCTTTCTTATGGATAAACTTGGTAGGTTTTCATTTCACGTAAAGATTGCCCATGACCCAAGGGTGTGTCATGACCTTGACCCAAGGTCATTTGGAGAAGTTCAAGGTCACTGGTAGAAAAATTTAATAATTCGTGTCCGGTCCATATCTTTCTTAAGGATAAACTTGGTAGGTTCTCATTTCACTGAAAGATTGCCCATGACCCAAGGGTGTGTCATGACCTTGACCCAAGGTCATTTGGGGAAGTTCAAGGTCACTGGAAGAAAAATTTCATAATTCGTGTCCGGTCTATATCTTTCTTATGGATAAACTTGGTAGGTTTTCATTTCACATAAAGATTGCCCATGACCCAAGGGTGTGTCATGACCTTGACCCAAGGTCATTTGGAGAAGTTCAAGGTCACTGGTAGAAAAATTTAATAATTCGTGTCCGGTCCATATCTTTCTTAAAGGTAAACTTGGTAGGTTTTCATTTCACACAAAGATTGCCCATGACCTATGGGTGTGTCATGACCTTGACCCAAGGTCATTTGGGGAAGTTCAAGGTCACTGGAAGAAAAATTTCATAATTTGTGTCCGGTCCATATCTTTCTTATTGATAAACTTGGTAGGTTCTTATTTTACTCAAAGATTGCCTATGACCCAAGGGTGTGTCATGACCTTGACCCAAGGTCATTTGGGAAGTTCAAGGTCACTGGAAGAAAAATTTTATAATTCGTGTTTGATACATATCTTTATTATGCAAAAACTTACTTCTGAAAAACACAGCGGGGGGTATTTTGTCCCAATTGGACAGTTCTAGTTTAACCCTGTCACATTCTTCTATAAAATAACAAAGTGTACGCTTAAGACTAGATTTTATGACAAATATTTAATACTGTCTTGTTAAAATGAGAGCTTAATTTAAAAGTAAATGGAAAGGGGGGGGTGTGTTTTCAACTTAATGTGCTCATGCATTTTCAGTTCTCCACACGGTAAAATAAATTGATATTTACAACCATTGACTGTATCGAAGTATTAAAGATACCTACAAAAAGCTTTTGATGACAGTACACAGACATGTGAGAAAAAATATGAGATGAGATTTTTTTGAACCTTTACGAACAAATATTAAACTTTTTAAAAAAGTACTTGGGAAGAAAAACCACGGAAAATACAATAGATTAATTTTCCTCAGATAATGTCATCTACGTGGAAGGAGAAATATAAAGAAAAAACATTTATGAAAGCTTATATTAACATTATGGTCTAAAAATAATTATAATGAAATTAATAGCTGAAAACTGAAAACAAATTAATAAAACGTGACTTTTTTTATTTAGAATAATTTATTTTGTAATTGACTGTAATGAATTTGTTAAAATACTTTTTTAAAAAAAAACAAATAATCATTTCTCAGGCTATTTTAATCCATTCCCAGGTTAAAAACAATGACCACAGTAATTATCAGTAAATCTCAGCATCGACAGTACCTCAACAGTAATTATCAGTAATTCTCAGCAATGACAGTACCTCAACAGTATTTATCAGCATTTATCAGACTCCACAGTAAAAGACGACAGTAATTATCAGTATTTATCAGCAACAGCTAAAATTATCAGCAACAACAGTAATAATAACAGTAAATATCAGTAATTATCAGCAAGAACAGCACCGTATCAGTAATTATCAAACATTATCAGTAAAATTTGGGATTCTCAGCACTTTTTTCGGCAACCATTAAGACTACCGTCGGAAGCCTTAAATGATAATCCTTGAGAAAGATAAATGATCTGGTGAACTCGATCAATGTCAAGAAAATCAAGGCTATTACTGATGCGCAAAGGAGATGATGAGAATTTTTATTTTAATTTTGGGGGGTATCGACATATCAATTTCAATAACTCGGGAATTATCTGTCAAAGTCACACAAGATTTCGGTTACTTGTTGTTTAAAGTTGAATTAAAATGTTTGATAACAATACTGGAAAACATATTGGAAATAAAAGTTTTAATTTTATTCAAAAGTTTTTTATGCATTTCTTTTTCCTTTCAGTATATATAGTGAAATTATTTCCTTGTGTGAGACCTAAAACCATATCCAACACCAAAAGAGTCCATATAATTGTATGATGTTACTCTCACTTCTGATTTGACTTTCTTCAGGGATGTGGCAAAGACTGATAGAATCAACTTGCTGAGAAAACGACAAATTAATGTTAATTTGCATACCTGCCTGGGTCAACTGTCCATCATCATCATGGTAAATATCAACATTCAAGTTTCACATCTCATTTACTGACACCAAATGCATATTCATAAATATTAATTGATGAGAATATATTTTAATGTTGAATTCTTTCAAAAACATATTTGTTTCATTTAATTATTATTTCAGACTTTTAGTGAAAGCGGTCTGTTGACATGTCAATATTTACAGAACCAAAAATTTGGGGCCATTCCTAAGCGGAAGAATTATGTTTGACCTTGAAACTAGCAGACTTGATGAGTTGCTAAATTAACACCTTTATTTTGACAAAAAAGGTTGTTTTTATAATGGATTAACATTACCTGAAAACTTGTACATGTATGATAAATATCACAGTAAAAAAATAAAATTTTGTGTTTTTACTCACTAAGCTAAGAATATTTACTTTTGACAATATTGAGTTTTTATGCCCCATGATCGAAAGATCCTGGGTATATTGTTTTAGTCCTGTCTGTCTGTTTATCTGTCTGTCTGTTGTCAACTTTAACCTAGCCCATAACTATTTAGTGGGTGAGGCTATAGCTTTCATATTTCACAGGTGTATTCCTTGAGACAAGATCTTTCTTTGGGTTCCATCAAATAAATAAAATACCACACTTTAACTTTAGTTTAAAATATATTTTATTCATATATAGAAATGGATTGAACAGCAGGCATAAATGCCTATGATCGTTCTCTCCATAACTTTAACTTTGGCGATCATTTTTGAACAGTTAGAGCTAGCTAGGGCTTTCATACTTCACATGTTTATTTATTGTGACAAGATAAATTGTTTTGGCCTTTTGACCTTGACCTAAGAGTTTGACCCACTTTTTAAAAACTTTAATTTTGGTCATAACTTTTGAACAGTTAGAACCATCAAGGGCTTTCATAATTCACAGGTATATTCCTTGTCATAAGACCATCCTTTGGGTACCAACACTTTTGACCTTGACCTGTATTTGAGAGAATTCAACCCTTGCCATAAGCTGTTATACGGGGTATCAGTGATTCACAAACACATCTTGTTATTACAGTTATCACAATAAATACACAAAATGCTTGTACTTTAAAATAAATATCTTTAAGTTAGTATTAATGTACTGGTATTATTGAATTTCTATAGCATCAGCCAATGGGAGGCCTGCCTGGTATAACTCAAACAGGAGCTGTGGAGATACGAGTCCAGAGATATGTTCCCTATCATTCCATGTTCTTCTCAACATTTCCATACAGACTGGTGCAGATTGGGAGATATTTTCTCTGTCTTCCTCCAAACATTTCCAACTAGACTCAATGATATTTTCGCTTTAATTCTGTGTTCTTCCAAGAATTTCCATAGAGACTGGAGCTGAGCAAATCACCAGAAAAATCTGTGATTGTACTTCATGGATAACTGACAATTTAAATGTACAAGTTATAACTATAGACTTGACATTTTCTGTGATATACCTGTTATAGGTGTATAGTAATTTCATGTTGTATTGTATAATTTATAATTTCTTTGATATTCATGAATTAGGGGTTACTGGGGCTATAGAAATTTCATGTTGTTTTGTATATTTTATAATTTCTATGATATTCATGTATTAGGGGTTACTTACACTGGGGCTATAGAAATTTCATGTTGTTTTGTATATTTTATAATTTCTATGATATTCATGTATTAGAGGTTACTGGGGTCATAGAAATTTCATGTAGTTTTGTATATTTTATAATTTCTATGATATTCATGTATTAGGGGTTACTGAGGTTATAGAAATTTCATGTAGTTGTTTGTGTACTTTATACTTTCTTTGTTATATCATGGGTTATTGTTTTATGGGAATGTTAATGGCATTGTAAAATATTCTTTAATTTCTGTGATATGTTTGGAATTAAATTTGGGGGGTATTTTGAGAATTTTATGAAGGTAATTTATGTATTCTTTATACGAGTACATGAAATTCTAATACACACAGTAACCCTAGATATCTGATAGAAATTATAAAGTATACAATACTAAATGTAATTCCCTATCCCCATTAATCCCATATAAATGATAGAAACTATAAAGAATACAAAACAACATGAAATTTTAGTACACCTAATAACCCAAGATATATAATAGAAATCATAATTTTTAAAAATTACACTAAATTAAATTTAAATGGGATTTTGGCTGTAGCATCTAATACATCAAATACGTGGCATTTCAGTTATATGTCTGGGTTATAAAAAATCTTTGATATGTAGTATTACACACATAACATTTCTGTAATTTATATGGGGTTAAAGATTTATTGTAGTATTGTACACATTTGTCAAAATTGATCTAGGGCTATACAATGTAATTATAAGGGTATGGTAATTAATTGGCGGTATTACTCACTTAACATTTCTCGCATTATGGGGGCTAGTAATAGTTTTGAACTGCGGATTGATTTCGTGTTGCAGGAATTTTTTGTAGTATTGCATGTCATATTGTCTTATATGAATGTGTGTATGGGGTTATGGGATAAATTTATACCATTTACAATTTAGTTTTGTAATTTGTCTAATTTGTGTGTTTGTGGGAGGGGGGGGGGAATAGAAATAGAAAAACAATGTTATGGATTTTGATTAACATTGTACATGTATATAATTGTATTGTATTGTGTTTAAAAATGTCGCTTTGTTTCCATGTTACATTTAAATACATTTAAATGCATTTACACATTAATGAATTTTGCAGTCATACATAAATGATCAATGTTTGATCTTTTTTAAGTGAACACTTAATTCAGTAAAAGTAATAGTGATATGTGATTAACCAACTTGTTGTAAGTTTGCATCATTGAAGAGAATTAAGTCTTGTTCAAAGATTGAAACTGGTTTGTAAGTAAAGTTTGCAGAGATTTAAAGTATGCTCAGTCATTATGGGTTCTAATTTGTTAATTAAGCTTGGTAAACAATAATGTCTCTCCAGAACTAAACATCTCAATCATTTTACAATCCATCTGTGAATTAATACATGGATGCTTGGATACATGTGCTTTATACATGTGTTCTGTGTGATACAGCTGTATTTCTATGATGTTCTTTAAGCTGTGTATTGAACCAATACTTGCACATATATATGGAGTGCCTACACAGATTAATGCTTTGCATGTATGCTACATCTGACCTAGTATATGATGCAATCTACACTATTTCATAATTACTGGTTTTGTGGCAAGTAAATGAGAACCAGTTTAGCTTTTTGGGTGCATCCACCTTAAGCTTTGTTTTCAGGTGTAAATCCACTTTAAGATTTGTTTTCAGGTTTCATGCAATTGTTAGCTTAATATATTTATATGCTATATGTCATGTATTTATTTGTTATTTTATTGTAAATAAATGTGTATTTATTTGGTAGTTGTGTACTTTTCTGAATGCATCCATTAAGGTAAATGTACATGTAGTCTGTAAATAAGCTGCCTGCACGTGGTTAGAGCCTTTTCTCTAGAGTTGTGGAGAAAAGTGTTGACCCTCGCATCGCAGGTTCAAATCCCACATCGGGATATGGAGACTGGTTATTCGGATGATACCATACCTGTATAAACCAAGTTCTATGTTGCAGTTTGTGTTGGAGAGAAAAAGTTCCCTCACTGCTCAATTGCCCCCAGGTGCCAAGATGTATAGATGAAGGATATAGAGATAATGAACAGTATTCAATCTCAAAGTCCATAAAACAACACAAAATTGGAGCAGAGCAAACACGGACCTCCGAAACATCAGGGGTGGGATCAAGTGCCAAGAAGGAGTGAGCATCCCCTGCTGACCCGCTGTGTGCTCCTTGTCATGATCTAAATTGTGCAGACCCCCTCCAGCAGTGCTTGTGTATTTATATCAGTGAAAAAATCTTGAAAGGGGAGTTAAACATACATGTAAACTAGAACTTTGTTATCTGGAACAAATTTATATCTTGAATACCATGAAAATGTTGACGTGATGTAGAAGTCTACCAGCAACTTTTTCAAGTATTTTACCCTTAAAAATGATTTTTTAAACCTTTGAATTCAATGTTTTTTCTAATCACCCCATTGAGATAAATTAGTAATGAGGTTTGATATACATGTACACATGTATACATTAATGTTCAGGCATGAAATATTTGAATGGAAATACAAGTCTCAAGAATATATTAAATGAAAACAGACTTTAATTTTAAATTTTATAGTCTTGGAGATGTCATAATCTTTTTTGTTAAATTTAAAAAAAAAAAAGGTGTTAATCGCCGATTTAAAAGAAAAGTAGCAATTAAGTTTCATGTTCTGATTGGCAATACATTCATCTGAAATCTACATGTAGCTAAGTCTCATGATTAGATCAGAAATTAAAATAACATTAATTTTCTTGGTAAGATTTAAATTCAAATTATTTTAAATATGTTTTTAAAAAATTGAAAAAGAAGAAAGAAGAACAATGCGAGCACGCCTGGCCCCCTCCGTGGGGGAAATGATACAATATATTTCTTGAATATTCATTTAAGTTTATGGAAAAGTTATGTTTTCTCAGAAAATACATTGTACATGTATGCTGTCAGTAACTAATATGTAATTCTATCATATATGATGGAAAATCCTGGGATTTAAACAAAACAGAAAATATATTAATCATCAACATTTATCAGGCACGTAGCATCGTTTTTGAAAGCGGGGGACCAACCAGAGAAAACATTTTTTTACTTAGCTGTGTTACAACGCGAAATGTAATAACAACGCGAAATGTAATAAACCTTGCTTATTACATTTTGCGGTTTTACATTTTGAGTCGAGATCAACGCAAAATGTAATAACACGATTTTTAGATTATTACATTTATCAGGCACGTAGCATCGTTTTTGAAAGCGGGGGGCCAACCAGTGAAAACATTTTTTACTTAGCTGTGTTACAACGCGAAATGTAATAAGCCCTGCTTATTACATTTTGCGTTATTACATTTTGAGGAGATCAACGCAAAATGTAACAACACGATTTTTAGATTATTACATTTTGCGCTGTTACATTTCGGTTGATCTCGACGCAAAATGTAATAACGTGCTTTTTCCTTGTTACATTTTGTGTTATTTTATTTTTGCACTGAAGACAACGCAAAATATAATAAAACAATATGTAATAAAACAAAATAAAATTATTTTTTTGATTGCGTTTAACAAAAAAGATCATAAAATTGATTCAAATATATACATGTAACGAACATGGGAAAATATTTAGAAGCTGTAAAAATATTTAGAACAAAAACAATGAGACCAACGTTAGGGCTTTAACGGACAGAAATACATCTAAATGTGTCGTTTTTCTGACTCTGATTTTAGTTATATATATTGAATACACTGTACTTAATTTTACATAATTAATTTAACTTTGATTGGCATATTTTTGATAGTCTTATTTAATTTCCAACAAATAACACATATTTAATTCCAAAGAATGACCATAGGTTCATTAAAAGGTTAACAAATTAGAAGTTTTTGTGTGTGTCAAGCGAGGAGGGACAGGGAAGGGGTGGAATGTTTACTTCGTATGTTTATTATTGTCTTGCTGTGGACATGCACATACAATCCATTTTATTATAGGATGGAAAGAAAGAGAGAGACATATTTTGTTTTTCGTTGTCTACAATGCTTGAGATTTGCATGGAACAGTATGGTACCATTATTGTCAATAAACCCCTTCATACTATATCTTTACATCTGCCAGTACAAATGAATTCTTTTTTTAAAGATTCATTACATTTGTCTAAAAAAGCCAAAGCACACTGGCCAACCCCCCCTCCCCCCCCCCCCCCCCACACACACACAACAACAACAACCCAATGGCTACCAACCGATGCACGTTTCTAATTTGCAACACCTATAATTTGTATACATTTCTTAAACTGATTTTAAATAAAGGTAGCTAATTAAATCAATATTATAAAATTTATTAATTGTAAGAAACTGCATATATCTTTTTTCCCCTGTTGTATTATTTTCTTTTCGTCGGCCACTACACTATTGAAAATGTTACTCAATCTGGTGATGAAAAAAACATTTTGTGTCCCTGTCACTAGATAAATTTTATAAAATGTTTTACACGATGAAAGGGAAGTAACTCTTATAACATCAATAAGTAGAAATACTTTTCACAATCGCGAAGAGTTATCTTTCTTATATAACAAATAAAATAATGAGACCAAGGACATCTTTTAATATTGTAGGTGTTCAAATATGATAAAATCCTTTTGTCAGTAATAAAAAATAAATTACTAAAGATAAATGTGTCTGCTGTTCGCGTTTACAAATCCATAAGATCTGTATATGCCTTTTTCTTTGTTCAGGAATTTGTCAAAATTATATAAATTGCTGAAATTATCAGATAGTATCGTTATAAATATGGGAGAAGACTATCATGCGTCCATAGCAACCAATTTTAAATTTCTGTATAGCTAGAAAAACTTCATATTCAAATTTTATCCCATTTTACTATGAATAGAGAGAATAGTATATAAATTTCTGCATCAGTTAAATGTAATCTGTTCATAAAACTAAACGAGGTCTTTGATAAGTAACAGAGCTTTTGATAAAAATTCAGTATTTCTCTAATTTCATTAAATAGTCATTCCTTGTCCAATGGAAAGCGTCAATTTATTTCCATCTGTTTCTTTACAGGGATAAGTCCAAATATAACAGCATTCCAAGAAATCTCTAGTCCCATCTCTGTCATGTATGTGTCCTGACTCTATGGTGACCATGGTAACCACAAACTCCCAAGTAACCCAGACTGTTGTGTACATAAAAACAAGAATATTTTTAATATTCACTCAAAGTACATTTTCAATAAATAAACAAAGATTGGTAGATCTCGGAGGATAAAGTTTTTTCATTGACCACTTTTAATGCATTAATATTAAACTATTATCATGCATCATTTTCATTCCTTATAATAATTTTTTAGAAAACTTCTACATGTATCTGTAGACATTTCCCGGCCGTGATTATAAATACTCGACATTACAAGATGAGGAAAAGAGGCATAAATGTTTATTTTTGATAGATTATATTTTCAGAACTAAATTAAGTAATATGCTGTGATAGTTTTTATTGAACATATAAATGTATGCGTGTGTGAAGAAGAAAGAGAGAGGAGGGGGATTTTAGCCCCCCCCCTCCTTTCTCAGATATCTGAATCAAATATAAATTCTGATTATTTTTCTGCGCCCGAATCGAAAGATCCGAGGCGTATATTGTTTTTGTCCTGTCTCTCTGTCTGTTTGTGTGCAAACTTTAACCTTCGCCATAAGTTTTGAACCATGAATGAAAGAGACTTCATATTTGGTATGTATACTCCACTAATTAAGCTCTTTTAAATGACACCATGGTCAATGACCTTGTGATCTTGACTAAGATCTATACGCTAAAAATAGCCTTTTTGTCGGCAAACTTTAACCTTCACCATAACTTTTGAACGAAGAAAGATAGAGACTTCATATTTGGCATGCACACTTCACCAATTAAGCCCTTTCACACGACACCAAGGTCAATGACCATGTAACCTTGACTGTGTTGCTATATGCTAAAAATAGCTTTTTCGAACCTTCGCCACAAGTTTTGAAACATGAGAAATAGAAACTTCATTTTTGGTATGCATACTTCAATAATCAAGTTCTTTCAAATGACACCAAGATCAATGACCTTGTGACCTTGACTGTGACCTATAAGCTAAAAATATGTTTTTAACTTTGTTGCCGCCGGGCGCATAGCGTTTCACAAACACATCTTGTTTCTAAATAATCCAGGCGGTGAAAGTAATCATTTTTTTTGTGAAAATTAACAAATCCATTTGGCAGTCATCATTGGATTTTATTTTCCTTTTTCAAATTCACACAGTTCATATGAAGACCACGGGCTTGTTCTGTCCATAAAACTTATTCGATACAGTGCAGGTGTGAAAATCTCGTTACACCGAAGGCAAAGAGTTACTTAGTATTTCAAAGAAGTTTAACATTTTCCCTATCATTTCCAGATCGGATTTCCACATTACTGAAGAAAACAAGTTAATAAACAAGATGTGTTTGTGAAACACTGATGCCCCCGTATGGCAACATAGCGAAGGTTAAGCTTTCTCAAATGCAGATCATATATTTTGGTACCAAAAGAAAGGCCTTTTCACAAGAAATACGAAATATAAAACACTAGCTACACCTGTTCCAGGGTTATGATAAAGGTTAACATTTTATAAGATCGGGACAAACTCGGGGTCAAGGTCAAAGGGTCAATGTTTGTTTGTTTATAAAGAAAGGCTTTATCTCAAAGATTATGTATGGGAAGTATGAAAGCGCTGGTCCTTACCGTTCAAAAGTCATGGCCAATGTTAAAGTTTGTAAAAAGTAGATCAAACTCTAGGTCAAGGTCAATGATTCTTGATATCCAATGAAAGATCTTGTCACAAGGATTACACATATGAAATATGAAAGCTCTAACCCCTACTCTTCAAAAGTTAAGGTCAAGATTAAGATTTGTAAAAAGTAGGTCAAAATCCAAGGTCAAGGTCAAAGGGTCAATGTTATTGATATCAAATGAAAGATCTTGTCACAAGGATTAAATTCCTGAAGTATGGATGTCCTAGTCCTTACCCTTCAAAAATTATGGTCAAGGTTGTATTTTTAAAGTATGTCAAACTCCAAGATCCAGTGAAAAGGACTTTTCACAAGAATTATACCTGTATATGTGAAGCATAAAAGCCCTAGTATTTATTGTTCAAAAGTTGTATCTAAAGTTTTTTCATAGGTATGGGAATCTCCAAGGTCAAAACGTCAAGGTTGGTGGTATCTAATGAAAGGTCTTGCCACAAAGAATGCAATGTACATATGTCAAGTATAAATGTCCTGGTATCTTTTACTCAAAAGATATGGCCAAAGTAAAAGTTCAAAATTTTTGTGTTAAAGTGGGTCAAACTCCAAGGTCAAAAGGTCAAAATTTGTGGTACTCTACAAAGGTCCTGTCACAAGGAATACACTTGTGAAATATGAATATCATGGCTCCACTAAATCAAAAGTTATAGGCAAGGTAAACTTCGTTTACGGGGGCATAAAAAACGAAAGTGTGTGCATGTAAACAATTGCGTCTAAATAAATTCCGAAATCCAGATTGAGTATGTAATCAATATTGTATAGATATAACCAGATAGAATATTAAATTAAACCAGGGATCTATATACTAGTATATTTAATTGTTGTTATGCCGCCTTAAACGAAGTTTCGGGGGTATATAGTTTTTTTCGTGTCCGTCCGTCTGTCTGTCTGTCTAGCTGTCTGTCTGATTGTCTGTTTGTCCGCAAAATCTTTAACCTTGCCCGTAACTTTTGATTTAGTGAACTTATGACTTTCATATTTCACATGTGTATTCCTTGCGACAAGACATTTCTATGGGCACCACCAAATTTGACCTTTTGACCTTGACCTTAAAGCTTGGAGTTTGACCCACTTCAACACAAAAATTTCAAACTATTACTTGGCTATATCTTTTGAACAGTAGATACCAGGACATTCATACATGTACTTAACATATGTATTCTTTGTTGAAAGACCTTTCATATGATACCAGCTACCTTGACCTTTTGAACTTGACCTTTGAGATACACCATTCATACCGCAGAATGAGAAAAATGTCCAAACAACCCAGGGTATCCGATCCATATATTTAATAGCCTATATTATAATAGCCGATATTTAATATAATAGCCGGGGATTCAATGAATTTGAATGCATAACAGATATATATTGGCTGAATACTCAGTAGTATGTAGAAATAATCTTCATGTTTTAGTTTCAATATGTCATAGGGGAATGTGTCCTTTTTTTTTACCTTGACCTGTACGTTTCTTAAATCAACAAAATTTATTTTTAAAAAATCTATCTGGTGAAAAATAATTTTTTAATCGCTTACTATTCTTTTTTGACCTTTACATGAAATAATGTTCATTAGGCAATAATTCATAAGATGTTATACACGAGGAAAACAATTTGAGAATAAAAACAAATACAGAACATTAAGATAAAATTTATTTTGATGACATTCAAATTTTTCTGTTCTCATTATGATGGTAATAAAAAGTTAATTTTCTTATCCATATGAAACAGTATCATTATGATTCAGTGTAAAAGGTTTTCTTCAGGAGTCTTAAATGATAAAATCGAACAATCATTCACACAACAATAAAATAGTTTATCAACGTTTGAACAAGCGGCGTAATCTGCTCAGAAATCCAGTTTTCTCCTTCTTCTCTTTCTTCTCCTAAAAATGAAAGGTGTACAAAGTCAAATGTATGTAAAAATCCTGCATTACATACAAAATCAAGTTTGATAAAATCAGAATTCTTAAAGGAAAAAAATTGAAAATGAAATTGAAATGAAAAGGAGTGGATGTTTACCTGTTTTTTCTGTGGTTTGCCGGCACAACATAAAAATCTTCTCCAATCTGTCGGCACGGGATCGGCCTCCTACAAGTCAAAATGTATTCACATTACTACAAATGTTGTTGTTGGGGGGGGGGGGGGGGGTCGTTTAACTATTAAAAAAAACAATAAATTATGTTACAAATGCGTTAATATGTCAAATAGGTACCATTTCATTGCTGATATCTGGTTCTGGGAAAGTCACAGTGCTATAAATAAAAATATTAAAAAAATCACATATTAAATTATACTTTTGTTTGGATTTCCTTTTACAATTATTAAAAACACCAAATATTATGTATATCGTTTCACCTGATATGTTTACTATTATACAAGCTGCTGTAGCAGCCAAATAGGAGACAATTACAAATTAAGGAAATGATTGACAATAATTTTAAAACTGTCTATTGTTTTTCAGTCTGTCATGGTTTGAAGACTACTATATAAAACAATAACGCTACAGATCTGCAGCTAGGCAGTTTCAAGACACGCATACATACCCAGGAATATCACTGTCCGGTGAAGCCCGGATCATAGGAACATGAACAATTTTCTCTGGAGCTTTGTCCACTGGCTTTCAATGAAAAAAGAATAGTGTAATCTCTATAAGCAAACTTTATTATCTTTAAATCCTTTGCATGAAATTAATCGGAATATCCGAGCAATGATCATGAGGGTAAAAATATAAAGAACAAGATGTGTTTGTAAAACACTGATGCCCCCGTATGGCAACATAGCAAAGATTAAGCTTTTCTTAAATGCAAATTTCATTAATTGGTACCAAAAGTAGGGTATTCTCCCTGGAAGACAATTATGAAATTTGAAAGTAAGCTAATGTTAATTTTTTTAATAAGTACAAAAATCTCCAAGGTTAAGGTCAAAAGGTCAATGTAATTAGTATCAAATGAAAGGTCTTGCCACATAAAGTACTTAAATAGAGCATGAAATCCCTAACCCTAACCATTGAGAAGTTATGGCCGACGTTCAATTTCTTAAAAAGTAGGTCAAACTCCAAGGTCAAGGTCAAAGGGTCAAAGTTATTGTTACAGTCCCTGAAACGTTCTACTTTCCCATTTTTCCGTTCGCTCACCGTTCGTTCACCGTTCGTTCAGCGTTCGTTCACCGTTCGTTCAGTGTGCGTTCACCGTTCGCTCTTCGTTCACAGTATTGCGTTCACCGTTCACCGTGCGCTCGCGTTCACCGTTCACAAAACGTTCACCGTTCGCTCTTCGTTCCGTTTACTTTGCGTTCACCGTTCACTTATATCGTTCAGTCTTCATTGTCATTCGGAACTCCAAAGTGAAAGGACTTATCTTTTTGATGGTAAGGATATACATGTTTTTTAATTAAATAACTTATTTATCGTGTTTAAAGAATAATTGCTTCATTGCAAAAATTATCTATGATATTTATATTTCTATTATTATAACTCAGCTGTTCCTTATTTCATGAATTTTCCCTGGAAAATAATTAATACATTAAGTACCTACATATATGTAGATTGATGCTAAAATATTAAATTCAAAAAAGGACAATGTACAAATGCTTCACGCACGGCATCAATTTGACGTAATTTTAAAGAGGACAAATTATTCATGGATGTATAATAATTAATCCAAGTCTTTTACAGGACAAGAATACATAAAAAAATATTCCTACAGTAACACGTATTTAAACTACATGTAGGTATGAGAATTATGAACAGTAATGCAAATATTCAGTTAATTAAATATGTTTAGAGCTAATTAAATTGATGGTGTGGTTTTAAAATTTTAGAAATGACCAACTGTCTAAAATAGTCTATTATTAGAGAAAAAAATTCCTTCCTTCTCCGTTCCTAAACATGTTTAAAAAAATCTTTTTTGCTATTCAGTATAATTAAGACCCCCCCCCCCCCTCCCCCCCGGTGCCTTTTCTCCCGAAATAAAATTCTTATTGAGTTCTTTCAGTATATTTTAATTAATATTTAATTTTTATTGTAACACAAGAAAATCAGTCTTAAAACCAACATCAAACAGTCATTAAACAATAGTATTTTAGTATAAACTTGTGCCGACAGTAGTATTTTAAATTGGCAGGGAATATGTTTCGCATTTAATTTTAAACTTAATCCTTCCAAGTATATATTCGAATTATTTTTTTTCTGCAGGAATGCAAAAATCAGATCTAGAATGATAGGGAAAAATATTAAAATTCCTTGGAATACTAAGTGACTCCTTGCCTTCGGCATGTTCGGTGAAACGCGATTTCAACACCTCCACTGACTGTGTCGAATTATTTTGATTGACAGCACAAGCACGCTACTACAAATATAGCACGGACTTCCTGTGAACTGTGTGAACTTGATGATGGAAAATAAAAGCCAATGATTACTGCCAAATGTTAATCTAAAAAAAAAGATTACCTTTATTACCTTTATTGCTTGGAATATTTAGGAAAAAATAATTAGAATTTTTATTGATACTACATATATCTGAGAATCGAGGGGGTTATCTCTCTCTCTCTCTCTCTCTCTCTCTCTCGTACATTTCTCTGTTCAATAAAAACTATGACAACACATTACTTATTTAGTTTTGAAAATTTAATCTAAACATGTATTACAAATAATTTGAATGCCTCTTTCCAACATCTTGACCGAGTATAATCACGGCCGGGAAATGTCTACAGATACATGAAGAAGTTAGCTAAAATAATCGTCATAAAAGAATAAAAAGGCACATAAATATAGAATATTTTGCAGTAGAATTTCAATAAAACGAGAATTTTTATGCAGTACGATAACAGTCAATGTCAAAGATAATTGTGAATTAAAAAAAAAATCCGTTATTTTACTCAGAATCGCTTTGACACGGAAATACATGCACGGTTGTTTCAACCGCGTACAATGTAATTAATTCATTCTATAAGTAGCAGTTTTATCTTCAGAAGTCCACATTATTTTTTTATTGAAAAGAATAAGCATAATTATTTACTATATAAGTAGATTAATTTATTTTTAAAGTACACGCGGTAACAAATACACGTTTGACGGCGATTAAAATCATGTTATTAAAATATCGATTTAAACATAGGTATGTGTCGATTTTTTTTTTTTTTTTTTAATATTTATTTATTTATTTATCTATTTATTTCTCTTTTGTTTATCTATTGTGTATTTATATTTATTTTTGACATTTGAATTATGGAATAAAAAAATGATTTCAATACAAGGAAAACACCGAAGGCATTCCGAATAAATCGTTCATCTTGCGTTCACCGTTCGTTCACCGTTCACTTTGCGCTCGCGTTCGCGCTCCGTTCGCGTTCTGCGTTCACTCACCGTTCACCGTTCACACATCGTTCACCAAGTTGCGTTCACCGTTCGCACATCGTTCACTCACCGTTCGCTCTGCGTTCGTTCACCGTTCAGGAGGGAAAGTAGAACGTTTCAGGGACTGTATCAAATGAAAGGTCTTGTCATAAGGGTAAAATATGTAAAGTATGAAAGCACTAGCCCTAACTCTTTAAAAGTTATGGTCAATGTTTGCTTTTTTAAAGTAGGTCAATCTCAAAGGTCAAGGTCAAAGGGTAAAAATTCTTGGTATCCAATGAAGGGTCTTTTCACAAGGATTACATATATGAAGTATGGAAGCCCTATCCCTTACTGTTCAAAAGTTATGGCCAAGGTTTAAGTTTTTTCAGAAGTAAGGAAATCTACAAGGTGAAGGTCAAAGGGTCAAGGTTGTTGGTATCCAGTGAAAGGTCTTCTAACAAACATTACATATGTGAAGTATTAATGTCCTGGTGTGTACTGTTCAAAAGATATGGCCAAAGTAAAATTTTAAAATTTTCACGTAAAAGTAGGTCAAACTCCAAGGTCAAGGTCCTTCTGGTAATCTAATAAAGGTCCTGTCACAAGGAATACACATAAGAAATATGAAAGTCATAGCTCCACTAAATCAAAAGTTATGGGTAAGGTTAAAGTTTTTGCAGACAAACATAGAGACAGACAAACAGACAGAGAGAGAGAGACAGACAGATGGACACGACAAAAACTATATACCCCGAAACTTCGTTTATGGGGGCATAAAAAATATGGTTGGGACAGTTAACTGACTTCAGCATATCTCTGATATTCGAGATATGGGTGATTCGATATAACACAATTCGAGATAATGGATTCTAACTGTATAATTTATAGATGCATACGTAAATTACATTTATTAGTATATATTTTAGATATTTACGTACATAAATGATAAGAGTAGAATAAATTATATTTTAGAAGAATACACGCCGGCCTTCCAAGAACTTTTATACCTTTGGAGTTATTTTCCTGTGGTCTTCAAGAGCCCTCTGCATCCCCATGCACGCTACTTCAGCACATTTTGCAGGTCTGGTCGAAAGGGTGAGGGAATAATGAACAATCTCAGAGCCAATGATGACCTTGACCTACAGAAAGTTCAAACAAAATATCATTATTAGGGAAAACAATAGTCAGAGATGGTACGACTAGTATACAAAATATAATATGAAATATATTATGTATTTGAAATAAAAATCTCTGTTCAACAGATACCTTCTTTTGTATTTTCAATTTCTGTGTGTTGTAATTTGTAAATCTGTACGGGGGAATAGCTGACTGTCCTTTTTCTTGGCTAAAAACAAAACAAAACAAAATAATATTTCAACATGCTTTGAAAATATATGATATTAACAATGTTTTCCATCTATACATATATGCTCTTGAAATGTTGGAATGGTATATTGTTGGCTTAGAATGGCAAAAGAGAGATCACTTGATTTAAAGAATGTAACATGTTCAATTACAAATCATTTACCTTGAGATAGCCTGTCTGGTCGCAAGAATAATCAAATCCCGTACGGTTTCCCGTGCAACTCTGCGGAATATCTGTTGATTAATAATTAATTACAATTAATTCAATTGTGCTCCTCCAAACTCAAAGATTTTAAAAAGTGAATTGTGCTTTTTCCTAATTAAAGAAATTATTAAAGCAATGGTCAAGGAATTGCATGCTTACAAATGTAAACCACTATTTGTTAAACTTTAAAGTTCACATATTTACAGAGAGGATTTAACTTTGGTATATAATTATATATTTTCACTTGCAAAGGATGTGTGCAGAAAAAACAGCTTCGTGAAAATTTTATCTTGCTGATAAACACCGAAAAACGAAAAAAAGTTGTCGCGAAAATTCATGTCATGTACATTGATCTCCATTTTACATAAACATTATTTTTTACCTTCTTTGCTGTTATTCTTTGCTCCTGGTACAAATCTCTTTGTGCTTTGATTCTTTCGTCTGAAGTTTGCAGTAGAACTGACTGTTCTTTGCCAAATATGATTTCTTTCGTTTGAGGAACGAATTAGACAGAAATCAATTTCTACTCGGTGTGATAATAAATTACTTTTTTGGAATTACAAGGTTTTCATTCGAATACCTGGTGTATATCACGTGGTTCGTTAGAACCGGTCTCGTTAGCAAGGCTATATAAGAGGTGAATAGTGTTTTAAATACCAGTTTAGGACGACACGTAGAGCACGATAAAGTTTAAATCTCAGATACAGAACGAAGTGGCGTAGGGCGTGGTTCATCGACATGTTTAGCCATTGTAGATGATATGAAATCACAGAAAATAGAGTTGGAGAGAGATTTGACAGTGTGGAAAACGAGGTCATCAAAGAAAAGCCATCCTACATCTTGTTTTTACAAGATAAGTATTCATTTGAGAATACAATTGATCAGTTTTTGAATAAGTAATAAATAATTGATAACAAGGTTTGTAATAGAGAGAATTTGAAAACAAATACATGATTGTATTAGATTATGAGATTCGTTAATTCTAGTCAGTATATGATAATAGAAGTTATTTCCAGAAATAGATAATTTGTTTTGTATAAAGATGGATTTGTTAAAGGAAGAAAACTGGTGTTTCTGAAAAGCAAAACAAATACGTTACGTTAATTTATTTTTCAATTAAAACAAGTGTAGAATTTATAAGATATTATATTTGCACTTATATCCAATTAAATATATTTGTTTATCATTTTAAAACGTACTAAATGCATCAGCATTATAACAAGGGAATTTCCTGAGTATAGAAAATATCGATAAATTAAAATTGTTTGAATTTTTCAATTTCAGTTTCTTGCCATTTTGTCAAATGTGCTACTGAAATGAAAAGTTTTAAATATATTGAAAAGAGTATATTCTTATGTTTCAGGTAGTTACATGTTGGGGTTGGTATCACGATAAGTATAATGAAGAAGGTGTTTTTAAGATCTCTAGAGAAGTACGGTAGATTTTTTCTTTGCGTTTTATGCCAATTAAAAGTTAAATTTCATGCGGACTCCATCACAATGGAAAAGAGAAGCATTTCATATTTGATTTTTGAGTATAAAAATTCGTTTTTCGATTGATTTTAGATCATTCAATCATGAATCCTTATAGTAGAGTATGGGGCATAGATAATTTTTGTTTGGTATCAAGTAAACCAAGTATATGTATTAATGACATATAAATTATATAGAAGAAAACGAGTTCTACTTGTCTTATGATTAATGCTGGACAGGTACGGCTTTGTGAAAGAGAATTAAAGGTTTAGAATATTTGCATTTAGATTTACATTGTAGTTAAACTAAGGTCTCCTTTGAATTATCTACTTAAAATTGAAATTTATCAATGGAGTATTAATTTTTTTTAAAAAAAAGAAGAAGATTAAGATGGTATAAAATATTTATAGGAATGATAATTTTGCAGTATTTGCAGAGTGTTGTTAATTGGCTTGATTGAGTTTTCTAGAAAAAGAGATCTAAGTATTTAGTTTCAATTCTAAAAAGTTTTCATAACAGAAACTGAATTTTGTCGGTTTTGATTTCTAGTAAAAAGGACATTTTGTCTATGAATTCTAATTCTAAAAATGATTCACTAAAATTGAATTAAATCTTTTCTGAATGTTAATTTCATGAGCTGTTTTGCACAATATTCGTGTTTGGTAGTGTTTGGAAGATTTGAATTTTGAAAACGTCGATATATTTCATTTTATAATGAAATGATATAACTCATTCAAGGAATGTTTATTAATTGGCAACAATTTTTGGAGTATTTACTTTTATTGAAATTAGTTTTCACTGGAAAGTGATTTTTATAATACTGTAGCTATTTAAAAGCTGTTATTTTTTAATTTTAAACAAAAATAGAATTTGAAGGGAATTCCAACTCTAACCCAGCTTAGCATAAAATACTTTATGGATGTTTATCATAACGCATCTATCCTGTTTGGTTTTTTGGCGGGATTGATTTCAGTAGACAATGAGAAATAGTCTAATGAAAATTAATATTTCCGTTTGAAATAATATTGAGTTGGGTTTGAATATGAATAACTTTGGCACAATATAGCATATCATGCTTTTACGTGTTTTCCAACCATGTATATGGTATTGTCATTTGGCAATCTATTAAAGATTGTTTTCATTATATTGCTGATACTATGAAATAGAAATTGAATGGATTCGAATGCTTTGCACATTTTATCATAATATGATATGTTATAGATGTTTATCCAACTACATTTGTGGTGTTGCCATTTGGCGAGTTGGTTAAAGTAGAAGTGGGTTCTTAATCATACGAGTTTGAATTTATGGATGTTTGTCCAACCACATTTGTGATGAAGCCATTTAGTAAGACTGGTTTCCGTAGAAAGTGCTTCTTGGTAATATGTTAAAGTAAAAGTTTATAATTTTCATGAAATCAAAGAAAAATTTTGATTCGAACTTGAAGTTTTTGATAAATTTTTCACATAGTATGAATTTATGGATGTTTTTTGAACCGTATTGTGGTGATGCCATTTGGCGAGTTGGTTATAGTAAAAAGTATTTCTACATATAAAGTACAGTAAAAGTTGATAATTCTGATGAAAATAAAGTAAAATTTAATTGGAATTTGAACTTTTTGATCAATTATATCATAAAATGAATGTATGGATTTGTATCTAACCATATTTGTGGTGATGCCATTTGGCGAGATTTGTTATTGTAGAAAGTTTTTCTGCATAAGTAGTAAAGTAAAGGTTGATAATTTATTAATGAAAATAAAGTAAAATTTGATTGGAATTTGAACTTTTGATAAATTATATCATAAAATGAATGCATGGATTTGTATCCAACCACTTTTGTTGTGATGCCATTTGGGGAGAATTGTTTGTGTAGAAGGTATTTCTACATAAGTAGTAAAAGTAAAGGTTGATAATTCTGATGAAAATAAAGAAAAATTTTATTGGAATTTGAACTTTTGATAAATTATATCATAAAATGATTTTATGGATGTTTATCCAACCACATTGGTTTTGATGCCATTTGGTGAGATTGTTTTCAGTAGGAAGTATTTCTTCAAATAGTAAAGTAAATGTTGATTATTCTGATGAAAATAAGGTTTTCATAACTTGATAATCAAATGGATGTTTATACAAACACTTTCATGTTTTTCTTAATTTAAAAAAAAAATGATCAGTACAATTCATAAATTTTGAACTTAATGGTGGAATTTTGATTCATTTTATCATTTAATGATAGTATGCATGTTTTGCTAGCCACAATGATGATGACTTTGATTTTTTTAATATAGATTAAGAGAGAGAGAAAAAGAGATCCTATACATATTTACTAATATCAGAGTTACAAGATATATGTATCTATCAGTTTTCTAACATTGAATTTGTTTTTCCAGGTATTATTGGTTATTTTCTTCTTACGTTTAATTCAAGGACCATGAGGTATTAATCGGTGTACCAATAATGAGTTTCAAAGAGGCACATATCCAAGGAATTGAGATGGGATTCAAGATGTTTCACAGGAATGTGTATTTTGTGTTATTTTGATATTGGATGATGAATATACTTCTATGTATAACTGTGTCGAATTCATTTGATATATTTGAAGTCTTCTTCCCTGGGACAATACGATAAATCGTATGGTTTGAGTTGAGTTTGACTTGAAACTATACTCAAAATTCAAGTGCAGCAAGCATTTATCGATGTATGGATAGGATGTGTGCATATCATCAGGACTTTTACAATCAGACTCACATGGTGAAATGCGTTATGGATTTTCAAAAGACGACGGTATATTGAATTCTTTTTTAGGATGGATATACATGTATTGATATTTTCCCGCGTTTGGCTAGTATAGTGAGAAAATGTTGTATTAATGACAAGATATTTATACGCATGTTGTGTGGATTGGTCAGAGAGTGACCGATAGAAATTGATTTTAAGGTGTAGTAGAGAACTGTTTTTTTTTAAGGTTGGTCACTTCTAGCCGCCGACTTAAGCGAGCAACAGCTAAATTTTTTAAATTTATGTATAAAGGGTATAAGTGAAGAAATTTATATACATATATTTGATTTTTTAAGGGTTTTATTGGTAGGTTGTGAGGTCCGTCGCAGCATTTTTTGCATCCAGCGGCACTTGGCAACGGACACAGGTTTCTAGAGTTTTTTAAAAATTATTTTTATCTCTAGTTTTTCCTGGCCGGCCCTGATGCTTTTCATGTTTATCACAAAGAATATATTAGAAGTATAATAGATGCAGCAGTTTTGAGGGATTCATACACAATGTTCTATATATGTATATTTATGTACTGTTAATAAAATACAGCGTCCAGCGCACGCACCACTGGCTGTCATGCATAGAATGTTGTTGTTTGTTTGTATAAAAGTAATGGAGTGAATACATGTATTTTATTTGGTGATTATTAAATTGTTTTCAAAACATTTTATTGGAAAATTTCTGTAAAAGTTTATGTATTTATTGTTTGAAATATTGAATGACTTATAATTTATATGAATTTTGTTGGATTGAATTTAAAATCAATGATTTTATACTTTTATTTCCCCGTTCTTTGTATTTAGAGCTACTGCGTGTCGTTGCTATGTCCAAATGGTGTGTTTGTTGTTTATTGTACTTTCATTTGAAAGTAATGAATGGATTTAGAGTAGAAATATGATTTCTTTCGTTTGAGGAACGAATTAGACAGAAATCAATTTCTACTCGGTGTGATAATAAATTACTTTTTTGGAATTACAAGGTTTTCATTCGAATACCTGGTGTATATCACGTGGTTCTTTAGAACCGGTCTCGTTAGCAAGGCTATATAAGAGGTGAATAGTGTTTTAAATACCAGTTTAGGACGACACGTAGAGCACGATAAAGTTTAAAATTTTATCATGATTAATTCAATCCAACATAGACTTGTATATACAAATTGATTTTCATATTTTGCATATTTTATGTACACTGCAAAAATAAAGCTACTGCGTGTCGTTGCTATGTCCAAATGGTGTGTTTGTTGTTTATTGTACTTTCATTTGAAAGTAATGAATGGATTTAGAGTAGAACTCTGAGAGAAATAAGAAACAACAAGATGTGTTTATGAAACACTATGCGCCCGGCATCAACAAAGTTCGAAAAAGATATTTTTAGTATAAAGGTCACAATCAATGTCACAAGTTCATTAACCTTGGTGTTGTTTGAAAGAACTTTACTAGTGGAGTATGCATACTAAATATGAAGTCCCTATCTCTTATGGTTCAAAAGTTATGGCAAACAGTGGAAAAGGCTATTTTTAGCATATAGGTCACAGTCAAGGTCATTGACCTTGGTGATGTTAGAACTTTATTAGCGGAGTATGCATACTAAATATGAAGTCCCTACCTCCTATGGTTCAAAAGTTATGGCAAAAAGTGGAAAAAGCTATTTTTAGCATATAGGTCACAGTCAAGGTCACAAGGTCATTGAACTTGATGTCATTTGAAAGACCTTTATTAGTGGAGTATGAAAACCAAATATAAAGTCCCTATCTTTTATGGTTCAAAACTTATGACAAACAGTTGAAAAAATCTTTTTTTAGCATAAAGGTCACAGTCATAGTCACAAGGTCATTGACCTTGATGTCATTTGAAAAAAAAAACTTTATTAGTGGCGTATGCATACCAAATATAAAGCCTCTATCTCTTATGGTTCAAAAGTTATGGCGAAGGTTAAAGTTGACAACAGACAAACAGACAAACAGATAAAAGAACAAACAGACAGGACAAAAACAATATACGCCCCGGATCTTTCGATTCGGGCGCATATAAAAAAAAAAAACTTATACATTTCCGGAAATATGTATACACGATATGTTAGCATTGGCGTAAAATTTGTAAAAGTTGCATGTTAATAACAATAAAAATAATTTTAGTGTCTTTATAATATTTATCACATACCTCTGCTCAGTAGCATTAATATTTCTGCAAACCTTGACCAAGATACAATCAAGGATGCTTCGCACTATCTAAAACATAATTAAATGTAAAATGTATATAATATTCGGCTCAGGCGGTAAATATATAGATATATTTGAAAGGTCATACAAGTTTCGATAAAAATACAGTCATGTATATGAAGCAATGTTATTTTTTACCATTTCTGATCCCTGGTAGTCCAGGTCCCTGAGACTTTCGAATTCCCTCAGCTTGTCAGAGTTCTACGATTAAAATACAAAAAAGTCAGTTAGACTCATTTATCTTATTATACTGGTATATTTAAAAAAAAAGATTATATTAGGTCGGTTAAATTATTAAAGGGTTAAGTGAGTGTTTTAAAACTTTTAACATAACTTACCTCTGATGAACTTGCCATCATAATGTTCAACGAACAGTGAAAGACAACTAAACGGTAACCAACAATAATGCAAAAAGCATTATGACGACCTTGATATTGTGACGTCATTGGTATTATGACGTCAAACAATCGAAAACCTAAATATTTATGTCTCAACATAAACTCGATTTCTTCTGGTTACCTTTACAAAGAGATGCGAGCGTACCCCAGTAACTTTGTCTGAGTATTTATAATTTATAAACTATAAGTATTTGATAAAGATAAAAAAAACCCTACCTCTCCTCCTTTTACTTCCATTTTCCACAAAAAAATTTGGACTGAATTTTCGCTGTGCGCACAAACAATGTCGACTGATATCTAATTATGACGTTAGTGGCTTTGTGACGGCAGTTGGACAATGATGTCATCGGCATTTGTACGAGAGAGAGAGAGAGAGAGAGAGAGAGAGAGAGAGAGAGAGAGAGAGAGATATTTTAAAATGCTTTATTGTGTTTCATAATGTTTTTTCGACTTCTGTTGGAGTGAATCAAAGTATCCCATATGAGGTTTTCTCCCTTTTTCATGTTAATTAGCCAGGCTGGTAAAATGAAGTTATGCACAAAAATCCAAAATGATACTTTTTAAGTTTTAATCATGTCAAATTTCATACTTGTACATTTAAATCAATAAAACAAATAAATAAAAAAACAATTGGCAGCTGAATCTATTTCATGTATTTGTAAAATTTTTGTGGCAATTTTACAATAGCTATGAAGATTAATTTTCTTAAATTAGAAATGAAAATAATATTTTAAATATCCCGGGCATGTTGTCTAGAAAAAGAAAAGCGTTTTTAATTGATTAGTAAATGTTTCAAAGTGCATGCGCAGATATAGAGGGGGGCAGGGCTCTGAAATTTGCAAGGTTATTAAATTTTTATACTAAAGCAAGAAAAAGGTTACCTTGGACCCTCCTTCGGAAAATGCAAACCACTCTGGTAAACCGGAATTTGTATTAAATTGGTATGAAAACTAAAAGGTTTGAAACATCAGAAGTCATCGACTACCCCCGAAATTGTAGGTTTTTGAAGTTTGGGCGAGTTTACGGGTTTTTTTTTTTGTTTGTCCAGAAATTACTGGGTTCGATTTTTTAGGTCTAGGATGGACCATCCGCCTGGAAAAATTTCTGGATCCGCGCCTGAAGTGTGACAGTTTACAGTTAATTAAAGTATATCATTGAAGGAGTCAGCAAGATTCTAGTTCCCCAAATTCAAGTCTATTTCCTGAGGTGCTTGCGCCGAATTTATGCCGAATTCAGCTTCCAGAGACATCCAGTGTATTTTTCTTTAAGTAGGCCCTTGAAGATTGGTTGTTTCTTTGCTTTTAATCCCTTCGAGATTTGTTGGGACGACATTTGCAGATTTCCCATTGCTCCAAATTTATACGTACTACGCACTTTTTGCCATTAAGCAGTGGGGATCTTTTTTGAGCCAGCATCTTCTGCGACACTGGACATATGTTTTATGGTCCCTTTTGAAGGACAGTTTTCAACATTCCTCATTGGTATTGGAACCTGCGACTTAAAATGAGCCACTTACGTCTTAACTCCGAAGCAAAATGTTCTAGAACCACTGCAAATCTCTTGGCCCTAAAAAAAGTACATTGTCTATAAGGACTGGAGGCTGATTGAAGGTTTGAAAAAATGTCCAATGTACTCGGATGTCCAGTCTTTGCGTATTTGAGAATCTTGTCTTTTTTATTCGATTTCTATAAATGTACTCTGGCTTGAGATATTTCACAAGTTCATCAAAATCACAGTTTGAATTAATTAATCATGAATTTTGCTTTTAAACGGCATATGTATGATACTAAGCATTTTGTTCACAAATCACTTTCTTTTGTACTTTTCTTATTTATAAATGTAATTTTCCATTAAATTTTAGAAAGTATTTTCAAAGCTGCTGTCAGAAAATAAAAATGTTTACCTACCAACCGACCCAACTTGAGAATTTAGGGTCGGGTTAGGGGAAACAAAGATTTTTTAATTCCGGCCTAAGGATAAGTGTTTGAAAAGTAGGTCAAACTCATGGGTCAAAGGGTCAAAGTTGATGGTTTCTTAAGAAAAGTTTAATGTAACAAGGATTACATTTGTGAAGTATGAGAGTACTAGTATCTACCGTTTAAAAGTTTAGCCAAAGTAAATGAAATAAAAATTTGGCATTTTTTGTGTAAAATGGGACAAACTCCTAGGTAAAGGTCAAAAGGTCAAATTATTTGGTGGTACCCAAAGTAAGGTCTTGTCTAAAGGAATGCACACATATTGAATATGAAAGACAAAGCTACAATAAATGAAAAGTTATGGTAAAGGTTAAAGATTTTGCGGAGAAACAGACCGGCAGATAGACAGACAGACATACAGACGGACACGATAAAACTATATACCCCCGAATCTTCTATTACAGGGACATAAAAAGAAATGGTCTTCAATTAACTTTTCATATTATGATACAGTATAAAGAAGACGTTACAAAAATGAAAATGTTTGTTCCGATTTTCATATTAAATTCTCTGAAAAATATACTCAGAACTTGGTAAAATCGTGGAGTAAAACAAGAATTAAGAAATGTAATGAATACTGTGAGCTTAATCAAAAGGTTATGTCTATATGTATAGTTTTTGCATTAGAATGTGTATTTTACACTAGCCCATAGCTTTACAGAGCATATTTTAGGTTTTATACCCATCCTACCCCCTTACTTATTTAGGAGGAAGTTGATTATCAACTAAAGCAACAAAAAAAAAAAAAAACAAAAAACTACCCTACCTTTATTTTACTATAAGGAGGGACTAAAAATAAGCTTAAAATAATCTACTATTCTACTAATTTTCAACTGTTACTCTGCCACAATACTTTCAAGAATACCCCCACCAACATTTAAAGTATGCTTTAATCATGGCGAAGTAAATTATGATATGATTGAACTTGTGTGAAGGCTCAACTTCATTTCAATATTTTATCTAGAGCCTCTTTCGGTATTATTGAAAGGTATAAAGTTTTATCTATATTTTTGCTTTTCATTTATTTTTTGTTTGTTCTGATTTAACGTTTTTTTTTTTTTTTTTTGGGGGGGGGGTTAAAAATTTCCTCCTCTTTCATTGTCAAATAGGATTTGCCAAACTTATTCAAGGTAAAAGTTGAAATGAAGGAAAAATTAATTTTTCTATTAAAGAGTATTGGAACCTGATTGTTGCATGGTTTGATTTTTAAAAACAAGCGGAATATCATTCTATAAGCAAACATTATAAGGAGGAATATTAAAAAGATATATTATTCAATTGACAATTAAAGAATCTCTTCTCATGCACTTTAAAGGGGGTAATTTTTCAATAGGGGTCAATTTTTTATAGGACTAACATATAAAATATTGACCCCTAGAACACTTTTTCTACAAAAAATGATTTTTTTCTACGGGTAGGGGGGTCATTTTCTGTCGTTGAAAAATGACCCCCGGTCATTATTCGATGGGGGTCATTATTCGTCTTTACACCGGCACTCTTTCATAATTTTGCAACTCTTTTTAAAAAATTATTTTTGCAAACATTACAGTGAAAAGCTAATATATGGTGCATCCCTAGTCTCTAAAATTATTTTTTTCTTGTTTAGGTCTTCTGTAAGGCTATACCCACCTGATCCCTACATTGACCAAAATCCCATGGATTAAATAACAGTCTCTGTCCCGGCCCCTAAGAATTTTAAATATTCGATTTCATTTGTAGAAATTATATATTTATATATGTCTAAGTCTTCTCTCAAAACAAAAAATATCATACAGATTTCTTTACATTTTTCAAGTTCGGAAGTTTTCGTGAATTTCCGACTTCCGAGTCTACTGGCCACACTTCATGTTTTTCACGCACGAGCGCCTTTGCACACAGTCCTGTAAAAATAGCTTTAACAACAGGGTACAGGGAATGTTCGATTCAATACGCTGGGATTTTTTCATGTCCACGTGAAGTTGTACAAGTGAGAAGCCGCTCGTTCACCGGTCAACAGAAATTCAGATATAGACAAGTGAGTATTGTACAATATATTATACAAATGTACGTACAGTCCATTGAAAATAGCTTCAACTACATAACAGGGTATACGGAATGTTCGATTCAGATTGCTCGAGAGTGAGTCGTTTTTCATGTCCATGTAAATTGTACGGAAACACTCCTCCACCTGTCAATAGAAATTCAGGTAGACGGCAGATGAGTACTGTACAATTTATACATAATTAACTTTATTAAACTTTGTAATCAGTGAAAACAGTTTTTGGCTAATGAAAGGAAGAAAGAATTGAAATGGCCTAAGGAAAAAATTAACTTTAATTTTGTTTTATTTGTTTTAAGTGTTTTCTCTTGTCCAAGAAATTCCTATTCCTGGTAAATTTGTTAAGTTAGTGTATAGGTGGACTGCTAGATCTCACCTTTGAAATTTTTTTTAGATCCGCGCACGATGTAGAGATTTTTGTCTATTGTCTGTCTAAACATTTATCTGTACATGTATAATATCAATACTTGTACATGTTTTCAGTTTATTCTTACATTATGAATAACATTATGTTAAACATATCAATGAAGGTAAATTTTTGAATTAACAAAAAAAAAAATACAAATGTGGAGAAAAAATATGCAAAACATGACTTGGCAGAGATAATTTGAAAGAAAGACTTGTATGAGGGAATGATTTTTTTGTTTACTCTGTATACAGATTATATATTTGATGGTTGATCGTGGGGCCAATGTCCGGTGTGAAATAGCATCGGGATCGTAATACTGGAACGCCATTTTTGTGACGTCCGTGGCGGGAAATGAGAGGATGATCAGAGGGCCAGTGAGACGATGTTTAATTTGCCACATGATACTATTTAAAGGTAAAATCTGTTTTTATTTTAAAAAGCTCAAGCAAAATGAATTTTTAGCTCTACTTGTCCGAGATCAGAAGCGCTCATCGCCTTGTGTGATACTTTGACGTTTACAAGATTCATCATTGTTTTTTTTGTCTGTCTGTAAACAAAATTACAAAATGCCTTTTTCTTATTCTTAACGTTACAGTTTTCATTTTTTAATGTGTCCAACTTCTGGACTCTTTTGGAGTGTCTGTTCATCTTCTTGCCTGTAAAATACATTATTTAGGGACATTTTTTATTTTTTCTTCATTGAACATTGTTGAAAAGTTCAAAATTGAATAAGAAAAATATATAGCTGTTCACCCTCATTTTTCACTTTTAATATGTTGACGGTGTGACCGTAGGTGCGAGCACAGATACTTATCATTTTCATTAAGATCGGACTCATCAAACCGCACGTGACATTCGCTGCATGCAAGACTGATGTCACATGACGTCGTATGCATGTTGCTTTACCAAAACCTGAACAGGGATGATTTTAATTTAGCTGCAGATCTGTAGCTCTCCGAAAAAATATATTGATAGACCGGAGAGCTTCAGTGCCACCCCTTGAAAAAACTGTATATTTATTGCGCACAAAAAAGTGCGCTCGTTTCTTGATTATTTCTTCCAAATTCTTACCTCAATTGCAAAAAAAGGTAGATTTTAAAGATTCCTTTCTCCTCTATCAAGTACTCTCGTAGTTGACATCTGAACGAAGCATATTGGACCGAATTATCTTTGAAACCAAAATGGCAGTTTATAAATAGGCGAAATGTTCTATGATTACAATATCAGGGTCAGGAGGACTATTAACAACAATTATGAGGAATGTTTAGTTGCGAAAACAGCGAAAGAATATATTCGGAACACACAGTTAATAATGTTTTGAGATCACAGTTTAAAAATATGGAGATAATAAATCGAGAACCGAGCGCACTTTTTTGTGCGCAATAAATATACAGTTTTTTCAACAGGTGGCACTGTAGCTCTCCGGTCTATCAGTATATTTTTTCAGAGAGCTACAGATCTGCAGCTAATTTTAATGAAAAACTGTTTATTGTCATGACCATTTTTCAGCAACAAATTCTCATAAATTCAAGGCAAGTTTATCATTTTATTTAACTTTTGTTCTTATTCTCGCGAGAACGTTGCTTTAGCATTTTGTACAAAGCGATGCAAAATTATTGCCAAAAAATTCTATCGAATGTGCAGTAGTCCAAATTTTCTTTTCGCCCAGGCGTTGTCGTTAGAGCTCGCAGTTACGAGCATCGCTTCGTGACGCTTGCTGTGCTCGCTTTAAAAGTAGGTCACAGTTTTTAGCTCACCTGAGCCCAAGGCTCAAGTAAGCTTTTCTGATCACATTTTGTCCGTCGTCCGTCCGTCTGTCCGTCTGTAAACTTTTCACATTTTCGACTTCTTCTCAAGAACCGCTGGGCCAATTTTGACCAAACTTGGTTCAAAGCAACTGTGGGTAAAGGGAAATTTAAATTGTTAAAATGTAGGGCCAAGTCCCCTCACAAGGGGAGATAATCAAGAAAAGACAAAAATAGGGTGGGGTCATTAAAAAATCTTCTTCTCAAGAACCACTGGGCCAGATAAGCTGAAACTTAGGTGGAAGCATCCTGGGGTAGTGTAGAATCTAAATTGTTCAAATCATGACCCCCGGGGGTAGGGCGGGGCCACAATGGGGAATCCAATTTTTACATAGAAATATATAGGAAAAATCTTTGAAAATCTTCTTCTCGAGAACCACTGGGCCCTTAGAGCTGAAACTTATGTGGAAGCATCCTGGGGTAGTGTAGATTCTAAATTGTTCAATTCATGACCCCTGGGGGTAGGGCGGGGCCACAATGGGGAATCCAATTTTTACATAGAAATATATAGGAAAAATCTTTGAAAATCTTCTTCTCGAGAACCACTGGGCCAGAAAAGCTGAAACTTATGTGGAAGCATCCTGGGGTAGTGTAGATTCTAAATTGTTTAAATCATGACCCCCGGGGGTAGGGCGGGGCCACAATGGGGAATCAAAGTTTTACATAGAAATATATAGGAAAAATCTTTAAAAATCTTCTTCTCAAGAACCACTGGGCCCTTAGAGCTGAAACTTATGTGGAAGCATCCTGGGGTAGTGTAGATTGTAAATAGTTCAAATCATGACCCCTGGGGGTAGGGCAGGGCCACAATGGGGAATCCAAGTTTCACATAGAAATATAAAGTAAAAATCTTTGAAAATCTTCTTCTCAAGAACCACTGGGCCCTTAGAGCTGAAACTTATGTGGAAGCATCCTGGGGTAGTGTAGATTCTAAATTGTTCAATTCATGACTCCCGGGGGTAGGGTGGGGCCACAATGGGAAATCCAAGTTTAACATAGAAGTATATAGGAAAAATCTTTGAAAATCTTCTTCTCAAGAACCACTGGGCCAGAAAAGCTAAAACTTAAGTGCACATGGAAGCATCCTGGGGTAGTGTAGATTTCAAAATGTCTAAATTATGATCAGTGGGGTAGGGTGAGGTCAGAGTGTGTATTTAAAAGGGGAAATCTGGTAAAGAACAGAATGGTCAAAGCTTCTCAGGTGAGCGATGTGGCCCATGGGCCTCTTGTTTAAGCATTTGATTTCTATGAAATATTTAAGTCTCAGTATACCCAGTGTTGAAATAACCATGCACCCAAGGCGTGGATCTTTATATTTTTTCCCAAAGGGAGGGGGATGTTCCAACCCAGTCAAGGTGACGAGCAAAAAAAAAAAAATTTTTTTAATGAAATTTTAGTCAGTGTTTTTGATTGAAACTGTAAATCCTCTTTTGGTAAAAGTATTATTTCAAAGCACACATGATTTTATATAGGGGGTGTCATTGACTTTTCAAAGTTCTTACCAGTGACTTTTCATTCCACACAGATCTGTTTCTTACGAATTTTTTCCAGCAGTCAGCCCTGCATGCATGTCTAGCTTACATGTATTATTTTATGATTTTATTTTACCCGTCTTATTCAAATCTTCTGAATGAAAGGACATTTTTTTTTCAGCAGAGCATGATGTATCTTCCTGTCTTCCTGTCAACATGTGAAACCCATGTGAATTTTAGGATAGGTATGTCTATAACACATTTTATTTTAGCTCACCTGGAGTGAGCTTTCTGATTAAAATTTTTCCGTTGTCTGTGGTTTTTTATCATTGATAATGTCCTTAACTTTTGTGTTCATATTTTCAACTTCTCAAGAACCACTGAGTCAGTTTTTACCAAACTTAAGTACAAAGTAACCATGGATGAAGGCAATTCTCATTTATTCAAACAAAGGTTAACTCCATCTTCCTGGGATTAAAAAATTGATGGTATCTTTTACATTTCTTCTCAAGAACCATTTAGGCCGAAAAAAATTTAAACGTGGAACCTTCTCATAATAATGTAGACTCAGATATATGTATATTCAAATCATGACTCCCTGGGTTAGGTCTGGCAACAAGGGGGATAAAAGTTTTACTTGGAAATACATAGGAAAAAATCTTAGAAATTTTCTTCACAAGAGCAGCAAAGCTTTATGCCATGTTTCATCATATTTATATTGATTTATAAAATAATTATTAAAATTTTCTTCTCAAGAACATCAAAGTCAATCTTATTAATTAGAAGCAATCACAGATAGAGTCATTTCAGATGTGTTGCTTTCATGTCCCAGGAGCTAGAGCAAGGCCTCAATAAAAGATCAAATGTCAGATGAACATTATGTCATTTATATCTTAACTCATCAATTCTGAACAGATTTCAGGTGGGCAGTGTTGCCCATAGGCCGCCTCTATAGTTTTTAATATCAATATTATTTTGATTTATTTTTAAAATAATTATCTGACGAAATACTTGTTCCTAATTAAAACTTATCAAAGCTATACATTTACAAATAATACAGTAAAACAGATTTATACAATAAAACTTGGTTATAACGAAGTCGTTGGGACCTGTGAAATTATTTCGTTATATCCATAATTCGTTTTATTTGTATAAGAAATTCATTAATTTTATATAGCCGGGGATCCAAGATGACTTTGCTTTATCTGTGAATTCGCAAATCATTATATCCGTGTTCGTACTAAACCAGATTTACTGTAGAAAGTACCAGGGACAGATGATTTTGATTCTTTATTGTTCATTATAAATGTATCTGTTAAGTGTACAATATATTTTAAGGTCAGAGCTCCAAAATCATGTGTTTTGTACATCTTAATAATGTGTGAAAAATATACAAAATTTTAATTACTTTCTGATCTCTAAACCTAATATAATCAGTTTCGAATTGTTTTTAAAATGTGAAACATTAAAAATGAAATTTTTGGCATACATTTTTTTTTCCTAAAGGATTATATAAGTAATGCTATCAGTCCATGCGAAAGACATCGGACCGTCAGACCTGACCAATGTGCAGTGCCTCTGGTCCGATGCTTCTTTTGTTTTCACCAGACCGGAATGTCCAGTGTCTCAGAGTAAAAAAATAAATGTTGCCGACATTGCTGACAAAAAATAACTTGTCAGACTTAAATTTTATTACCAAAATCCAAGTGCAAGGGCTTTAAAAGTAGTGATGAATGTTTAAAACATCGAAGGAATCACTGCCATGTTTATTTTACCGCCATAATTGAATGTAGGGTCAGACTAATAGCAGGAAACAGACAATATTATGAGGTTTTACTATACAAAGGAAAACATTTAAGTCTAGACAATATGTAAACATTACTATAATCAAGAATACAAGTCTAATCTCTGGATAACTTCTTTTAAACTTTGTAATCCCAAGAAATAAACACATGTAATGAGAGGTGGGACTAATTTCAGTAATATACCCATTGAATGGAATTTTTAAAAAATTAATATCCATTCTGTTTCAATATATTGATTTTGTTTAAAGTAATGAAATATTATTTTCCACTTCTTAAAAAAGAAAAAGTAAATTTTTTTAAATATTATATTTAATTTGGTAAATTATTTTGTTTTGTTCAAGTCTTACTGATATTTGAAAAACATTTATTAATTGATTAAGCCCAGCCGATTATCACCGATGATAAATTCTAATTTCATTTCCGATTTTCCATCACTAATTTTCACGTGTTTCATGTGTTAATACATTATGTTTTTTGGTCTGACAAAATTTGATTTGGTCCTGTGTGTTGATTGATTACACAGGACCGAATGTCCTGTATGGTAAAAAAAAAGTTTTGCATAGACTGTGCTATCCTCTGGTATCTTGCACTGATGCCTGGTAAGGTATCTCAATTTTTTGTGAGTAAACATGTTAAAGTAGTAGTTTTTCAATGACAAAATATTAGAAAAAATTATATATTATTGAGGAACGCCTCGTCTGTCCTTAAAGCCATGGGGAATAAGAACCACTTTGCTGTAAATGTCTGTTCATTTTGATCGTTTGATATAGCCTTATAATATTTTCTTATTTGGAACCGAATTGTAAGAATCATGGGTAACTTTTATATTGATGACATTTCCTCTGATTTTAGGAGTAGTCTCCCTGTTAAAGATCATTCATGGTGTATTTATCTTGCAGGATGCTGTCTGGTCATCAGCAGAGAGTCTTGACGCTGTATTTATACCAGTCACCACTGTAACCTTTGTTATGTTTACCAATCACCACTGTAACCTTTGTTATGTTTACCAGTCACCACTGTAACCTTTGTTATGTTTAGCAGACAGGTAAGGAAAAACAAGATAACTATTGAAAATAATTTTATTAAAGGTAAATAATACAAAATCCCTCTCTAGAATTTTTCACTCATATGGAGACGCCACCATTTCCTGGTGGAGAACTACAAATTTTGTCCTTTGCTCAGCACTCGGGGCCATTGAACAGTGAGGGATCTTTTTCGTGCTTAGCACCTACAGTGACTTGGGACCTTGCTTTAAACATCTCATCCAAAGGACCGGTCTCTATATCCCACAGTGGGATTTGAGCATGAGACCTAAGGATCAACTTCTAACTTTGCGACTCTAGAGCAGATGCTCTAACCACGGTGCCACGCGGGCGACCAAAGCAATTTGGAAGTATCCACAGGGAGTGTAAAGTCAAGTTTGTTCAAATCATAACCCCCTCCCACCTGAGACCACTTCTATAAATAACCCCCATAACCCCGTCCCCCCTGAGACCACTTCTATAAATAAACCTCCTCCCCTCTGAGACCACTTCTGTAAATAGACATTTCAATACTGAACTTTTTTATCTGCTTTTTATGCCCCCGTAAACGAAGTTTCGGGGGTATATAGTTTTTGTTGTGTCCATCTGTCTGTCTCTCTGTCTCTCTGTTTGTCTGTTTGTTTGCAAAAACTTTAACCTTGCCCATAACTTTTGATTTAGTAGAGATATGACTTTCATATTTCATATGTATATTCCTTGTGACAAGACCTTTCTTTGGGTACCACCAAATTTAACCTTTTGACCTTGACCTTGGAGTTTGACCCACTTTTACATGAAAATTTTAAACTTTTATTTTGGCCATATCTTTTGAACAGTAGATACCAGGACATTTATACTTCACATATTTAATGTTTGTTGAAAGACCTTTCATTGGATACCAACAACCTTACCATTTGACCATGACCTTGTACATTTCCGTACTTGTGAAAAAACTTTAACCTTGGCCATAACTTTTGAACGGTAAGTGATATGGCTTTCATACTTTATATATGTAATCCTTGTAAGAAGACCCTTCATTGGATATCAAGAACTTGACCCTATGACTTTGACCTCTGAGATTGACCTACTTTAAAAAAGCAAACATTGATCATAACTTTTATTTTGGCCATATCTTTTGAACAGTAGATACCAGGACATTTATACTTCACAGATATAATGTTTGTTGAAAGACTTTTCATTGGATACCAACAACTTTGACCTTGTAGATTTCCGTACTTGTGAAAAAACTTTAACTTTGGCCATAACTTTTGAACAGTAAGTGATATGGCTTTCATACCCTATACATGTAATCCTTGTGAAAAGACCCTTCATTGGATATCAAGAACTTGACCCTATGACCTTGACCTCTGACATTGACCCACTTAAAAAAGGAAACATTGACCGTAACTTGTACAGAGTTAGGGCTAGTGCTTTCATTCTTTACATATTTGATTCTTATGACAAGACCTTCCATTTGATAACAAGAACTTTGACCCTTTGACCTTGACCTTGAAGTTTGACCTACTTTTTAAAAAAATGAACGTTGGCCTTAACTTCTGAATGGTTAGGGCTAGGGCTTTCATGCTCTACATAAGTCATCTATGTGGCAAGACCTTTCATTTGATACTAACTACATTGACCTTTTGACCTTGACCTTGGAGATTTTTGTACTTATTTAAAAAACTTTAACATTGGCTTACTTTCAAATTTCACAATTGTTTTCAAGTGAGAATACCCTACTTTTGGTACCAATTAATTAAATTTGCATTTAAGAAAAGCTTAATCTTTGCTATGTTGCCATACGGGGGCATCAGTGTTTCACAAACACATCTTGTTTCCTTAGCAAAAGTGGTCATATGAGCATGTGGCCTCTTGTTTGCTTTTGAATTAACCTTTCCTACTTTGTTGTTGATTTAGATGATGGACCACTCTACTTCCTTTGAAAACAAGTGTCCATACAGATTCACAAAGTTCCAATGTTGAGTATCCATAAGCCTTAACCAATGAGTGCAGTTTTATGTATTCTACATTCAAAAAATTTCTAGTAAATACATATACATTTTGATGTTGATTTTAAATATATGGTCCATTTTACAGTTTTAGATTATGATATTTCAATTCTATCAAGATTTTTTGGTCCAAAAGAAAAAAAAATTACAGTCTCTTAACAAACATAAGTGTTCCTCATCCATGATTATTATGTTAGAATCAGTAGGCACCACTGAAGTTCTCTACTTCTTTTCAGCCCATGACAGGAAAAGCTGTCAGGTTGACAGGACTTTCCACACTGTTCCAGGTATCAGTTTAGAATTGAACAGTCAGCAGTAGACATAGCCAGCTTCATTAAAGGTAAGTCTTCAGAATGGTATGTGTAGCAATTCTTATGTATTGTCCTGAACTGAAGCTTCAGTTCTCTGCATGGATTCACAGGGCTAAGCATCTTCGTACTCTTCTGTGAGGAATGTTCCTTCTTAGCTCACCTGGAGGAAGTCCAGATGAGCTTATGCTATACCCCCCAGCATTGGCGTCGACGTAAGCATTGGTGTACCAGGTTAAAGGTCCAGGAGCCAGTACATTCTCATGTAACTACTGTAAAAGCACAAATATTTGTGGGGGATTACCGTATTTGGCCGAGTATAATACGCATTGATGTAAAATACGCACCCCCCTTTTTGAGTCTGAAACTGGGGGAAAAAACGCAGTTCGGATGTATTATACGCAACAGAAAAATTTACCAAGCGGTGTTCTGAACTTTGAAAATCGCGGTAATTTGTTACGAAAATCGGCGCGAGGATTAAGTGTGAAAAATTTACTGAACACACTTTTTTTTTAAATACACACTTTATAACTTCTCTTAATCCTGACATTCCATATCGCGGCAATCTGGAGAAAATTATTTATTCATTTATTTCAACAAAGTACAAGATAATATTGCGTAAAAGTATTAACAGATTTTTTTAAAGAACAGTTACGGTGATTTTGAAATAATGCATCGCCATATTCTTAGATGAAATAATTTTATTTCAACAAAGCAAGAGATATTGTCGAAAGTTTTATCAGTTGTCATATTTAATTTTGGTTCTAGATAATCATGCTGAAAATTATCTTACAATATTTTAACAGGAAAGGAAATTGAAACATCAAAGTATTTATTTCTTCAAGAAGACTACGATTTTCCTCTTCTAAATCTTCGCGGATATCTTATTAGGTCACCTGAGTCACTCAGGTGACCTATTGCTATCTGTTTTCGTCCGTCGTCGTCCGTCGTACGTCGTTCGTCGTACGTCGTTCGTCGTCAATCGGTCGTAAACTTTTGAACATTTTCAATTTCTTCTCTGCAACCACTGAACCAATTTCAACCAAATTTTGCACAAAGCATCTATGGGTGAAGGGGAACAAAAATTGTGAATTTCATGATCCCTGCCCCCCTGGGGCCTGGGGGGTGGGGCAAAAAACCACTAAAATTAATGCAATCTTCAAAAATCTTCTTCTTTACTCCTGGACATCAAGCAGTCAAACTGTTTGCATGATTGTAATCAGCATTGAGTCCTTTACCAAAATTGTGAAATTCATGGCCCTGGGGTCAGGGGTTCTTGTACTAGGGCGGGGCTAAATAAGTATATAGTGAAAATGCATTATTTCTTTGAAAATCTTCTTCTCTGCTCCTGGGTATTAAATAAACTAACTAAGTACATAGTTATGATGAGCAAGAGTGCCTCTACCAAAATTGTGAATTTTATGGCCCCAGGGTCAGGGGTGCTGGTGTCAGGGCGGGGCTCTATTGAATATATAGAGGAAATACATGAATTCTTTGAAAATCTTCTTCTTTACTCCTGGGTATTAAATAAACTAACTAAGTACATAGTTATGATGAGCAAGAGTGCCTCTACCAAAATTGTGAATTTTATGGCCCCAGGGTCAGGGGTTCTGGTATTAGGGCGGGGCTCTATTGATTATGTAGTGAAAATACATGAATTCTTTGAAAATCTTCTTCTCTGCTCCTAGATTTTATATAATTTAACTAAGTACATAGTTATGATGAGCAAGAGTGCCACTACCAAAATTGTGAATTTTATGACCCCAGGGTCAGGGGTTCTGGTTTTAGGGCGTGGCTCTATTGATTATATAGTGAAAATACATGAATTCTTTGAAAATCTTCTTCTCTGCTCCTAGGTTTTATATAAACTAACTAAGTACATAGTTATGATGAGCAAGAGTGCCACTACCAAAATTGTGAATTTTATGGCCCTAGGGTCAGGGGTTCTGGTGTCAGGGTGGGGCTCTATTGATTATATAGAGGAAATACATGGATTCTTTCAAAATCTTCTTCTTTACTCCTGGGTATTAAATAAACTAACTAAGTACATAGTTATGATCAGCAAAAGTGCCTCTGCCAAAATTTTGAATTTTATGGCCCCAGGGTCAGGGATTCTGGTGTTAGGGTGGGGCTGTATTGATTATACATGTATAGTGAAAAAACATTAAATCTTTGAATATTTTGTTCTTTTCTCCTAGGTTTTAAGCAGATGAATTACCTATATAGTTATGAGCAATCCCTAATCTTCAAGAATTGTAAATTTCAAGGCCCCAGGGTCAGTTGTACCATAGTGGGGGGGGGCTGTACTTATGTACTGAAAATGAATGAATTGTTTGAAATGTGCTCCTTGGTATTAATCAAATATTTTTGAAAAGCAAGTATGCCTTTCCAAAAATAGTGCAATGTGTGGATCTAGACCTAAGAGTCAAGGGTTCATGTGTGGTAGCTGCACTACTGATTATTGCTGAATATTACTGATTAGTTGAAATGCATTTTTTGTTCCCCTACCTTGCCTATGGGTATAAAGTAACCAAACTAAGGAACTGCTAAGTGTATATTTATGATGACCAAATTGTAAATGCTATAGCATCTGGTTTAAAACATGGATCAAATTCAGTCACTGGGAAGTTGTTGAATAATGCTCAGGTGACCTTAAGGCCCAGGGGCCTCTTGTTTTCTAAATGATACCACTTTTATTAAAAGTTTTAGCATAATTTATATTTCATTTGTCAACTCTCAATTATTTAAACAAGAGGCCGATACGTATAAGATAAGGTAAAATTACATTTAAGAAGTGTTTAATTGTTTAAAGTGCCGTAATCAACACATGCTCACACATACGAAAGGTCATAAACCGACCCCCCCTTTTTAACAAAGAAAATAATCAAAGCAATTAACATGACAGTAAATAATCAGTGCTGTAACTGTAAAAACATTGCTTTGGAGTCGGTAGACAATTAATTGCCTCCTTTCATTGGGACGTATGGAGGGGTGTTAAATATTGTTGCAGGTTATCAATGAGTTATTTTAAACCTAAAATTAATATTTATTTTATTGTATTTCATTAAAAAATGATTTATTACTTTGTCTGGCAGATAAGATGCATGTGCACTATCATTACGGAAACACATGACATAAGCATGAGTTAACGTCTAAAAATAACATCAGTAATGGCGGCCTCCTCGGAGACATGCAGCTCAAATTTCTTTTAACTTACTTTTTCATGTTATTTTGGTATCAAAAGATTGTGAAAGTGACATTTTTAAGAAGCATACCTTCCAACAATAACTTTCCGAAGTTTAAAATATGGCAATAAACAAAAGAAATTGCATATGTCTCTAGGTAATACTACGGTATGTACGTATGATAGCCGTGTTTCACCTGAAAGAGAAACTTGTCAAAATCCCATTGTGATGTAAAATACGCATCCCTTTCTCACAGTAATTTATTTTAGGAAAAAAGTGCGTATTGTATTCCCCGAAATACGGTAAATTTTAATTATTTCATTGAAAACAATTATTAACGATATTAAATCCCACACGAAATTTTACATGACTATATATTGAATAAGGTTACTTTCAAAACAAAGAAATTAAATGCCTTACCTGAACCAAACTTGCATGGATGATGCATCTAGGGATGGATACTACCAGACTTGCTTTGGATGCTGGATCTGTCCTACATTTTTCAGATGAGTGACCAGGTTATTTCCAAAAAACTATAAGCCCTACCTGGACCAAACTTGCATGGATAATACATCAAAGGAAGGACAATCAAGACTTGCTTTGGATGCTGGATCTAACCTAAATTTTTCAAACAAGTGACTAGTTTTAAGTTTTTGGAACAGGTCAATCCTCAAAGAACTATAAGACTTACAGAGTTCTTGAAATCTTTCGGTCCTGTCGGCAAGACCGATAAAAACAACCAAGGACCGATAACTTTACGTTCTGTGTCAGTCCAAATGACCGGTAGATGTTGAGAAAGCAACTTGCGAAAATCCGACTAAATTTCGTACGAATTCCCTATAACCGACCGATCATAATCTGTTAAACGCTTTTCAGTATCTCGTAATGGCTTCTTCGATGAACGCAAGTACCAAACTATGATTGATTAATTGTTTTAACAAGTTTTTGACGGCGATAAGGTGTTAGCCAGGTGAGAAAAATCGAACTAGATTAAAAACTTATGAAGAAAATTGACCTCCCATGAGAATTCAACGAAATTTGTTATACGATGATAAAATTTGCATGAAGTATGCAGTGTGTATATGATGGGGATACGAAATGAATGATAATAAAATTCAAATAGAGTTTTAATCTTCTTAAAATTATGTTTAATTATTTTGTTGGACTGATAAAAATCTGTCTGGACCGACACACTTCCTGTGGCAGTCAGTCCAAATGACTGACAGTGGAAAAAAGAATTCAAGAACTCTGGACTTATTTAAACTACAGTACCGACCGGACACAACCTAACAGAAAGCGAACCGGAGCGGACCCCGGGTTCGCTTTGGTCCGTCCGGGTTCGCTCGGGGTCCGCTAGGGCTGACCCTGGGAACCCGGAGCGCACCCAAAGCGAACCCGTAGCGGACCCCGAGCGATTTACATAATTGAACGAATTAATTACGCTAATTAATCACGACATTTAGAAAATCGTACATTGTTCCATTCTCTCAAAATGCGTAACTATACTTGACAAAGAATAATCAGAGAAATATAATATAAAAGGGATATTTTAACATATGAATTATAATCTATTATAAATTTTGAAATGTTTTAGGACTAATTATTGGAAAAAAAAAAATTAATAAAGGTGTTAGAAATGCATAGTTATGTGGGTTGTTCGAAAGATGGTAACGCAAACTAACTGTAAAGTTACACTAAGTTGAAAGAATTATCTTGTTAAGTATCATCAGGAATTGGGTCTAATTCACGTTCATTCTGGTGAAGTCATTCAGTTTGTTAATACCATTAGGGCGGAATGACTTCAAGCTGTGCATCCAGGAGGAAGATTTTTATATACAGGCATTTT